AAATCCGCGTGGGGTTCCGACAGTTGGGGATGGGCCAGTAGTGCTATGTAAGTGTGCACTTTGGTTCAGAGTCCCTTTCCAGGGGCACCTGGGGCACCCTATTCAGGATGATCCGGAGAGAGGTGCGGCCATTTCCTATTCGTTTGGGGGGAGTTGGCCGTGCTGTTCGTCACCTGGCTCGCAGATGGGTCTTCTCCTTCTGCATATTAGCTGCTCACGATACGCAGCTAAGGCAGAAGACGAGCATAATGAAGAGGACAAGGCGAAGACGGAGAGCCAGGAGCCAGAAAGTATGACAATCGGATTCGAAATTCCAATTGGATTGTGTTCCACTGTTGTAGACAGGACCACTATCCTGTTATAACTTCTGAATGGGTAGTGGGCAGTGGATTTAGATCTGACATTTGGGTGGTGCTCGTCAGTTTTAGATCGGATAACCATCCCATTTCAATCTCGAATTGGAGAGTGTTCATCGGCTTCAGGCAGGACTTGTTCGATTGGTAAATCAAATATGTACAGTGCTCATGACTTTTAGCCATGACCACGATCACGTTTTCATTTCGAATTGGATAGTCCCCATCGGTTCGAGACAGGTCCACTACCACATTATTATTCAGAATTCGACACTGGTCTTATTATTCAGAATTCGATACTAGTCACCTTTTTCACAGCAGGTGGGTGGGGCTACCTTGGTCAGCGGATGTAGGGATGCGCTGGTGGGGAGATAAAGAGTGTATGTAGCAGCACCAGCATTGTGTTCTGAGATGGGGATGGTATCTACAGGCGCAGAGAGTGAGTATCGGAGACACCTACGGCGAATCACCGTCGCCCCCTGCCTTCTTGAAAGCGCCTGTGTGGTCGGAGGTTTATTTAGAGCCCGGCCAAGCTATCGGGCCATAGGTTCCCCGAGTTGGTTTGGAACGCCATCGGGGAACACGTCGGCGAGGACGAATGCAAAGAGGATTTCGATCTGGTCTCATGTATCGTCATCGGGGAACACGTGGGCGAGGACGAATGCAAAGAGGATTTCGATCTGGTCTCATCTATCGTTCTTGGGGCCTCCCTGCCTCGTTGAAGCGCGCCTCTGCGGCCAAACGTCTGGGCCAGAGCGTGGATCAGTTATCGGACCAGGAGCTCCTCAAGCCGCTGTAAAAACCACTCAGGGAACGCGTGGAGGACCATGAAGCGGAGTAGGATAGGAAGAACAAGTGGGGAGAGAGGAGGAGAGCTCTTTGGAATCCCTTGGGAGACTCTTGGGAGCCTCTTGGGGCCCTCTTGGGGCCTCCTGGGAGCATCCTGGGGGGCCTCTTGGAGGCCTCTTGGGGGTCTCCTCGGGCCTTGTGGGAGCCTTTGGGAGCTCTTTGGCCGTCGTAAGATGTTCCTGGCCCGTCGGAGGCTGTCTTTGGGGCCTCTCTGAACCGACCTGGGGCCCTCTTGGAGTGCTTCATGGCCGTCTTGGAGGCCATTTCGGGCGTCCTGGAGGCCTCTTGGGCCGTCTTTGGGTCCTCTTGGGGCCGTCTCGGGGGCCTCCTGGGCCGTTATGGAGCCATCTTGGATTTCGGAGGTCGCAAGGGCCATCTTGAGTCGATCTCGCCGTCTTGGGCCGTCCGAAGGCCGAAAAGAAGCAAATACCAAAATCCTTCTCTCACCAACAACATATCAATGATTTGGGCCTCTTCGGGCCTTCCTGGAGGACCTCTTGGAGGTCTCCCTGGCCGTCCTGGAAGCCTCTTGGGGGCCTCTTGGGCTGTCTTCCGTCATCTTGAATCCGTCTTGGAGGCTTCTTGGGCAAACTTGGAGACATCTTGGACGCTCTGGGACTGTCTTGGAGGCCATCTTGGACCATCTTGGGCAAACTTGAGAGCCATCTTGGCCGCCTTGGAGGCCATCTTGGAGCCATCTGGAGCGGCACAAATCTTTGCAACCACCTCTGGAAGAGCCTTCCGGATGGCCGGCGGCATGCGCCGAAGCCCCAGGGGGTGTTCTTCTGGAAAAGAACCTACACCAAAAACGGAAGGACTCAGCACTCACGGCCACCTGTGATACATCAACAGGGGGCGGCGGATCGAATGGCGTTCGGCCCATCCCGCCGCCGTGCCTGGGTTGTGGGTCGTAGGCTTCTAAGATGTTCGTTGGGGTGTCGCGGGAGACCTCTCGGGGCTGGAGGCACGGGCAGGGGGAGGATTTTTGGAAGAGTTCCTCGCTCGCTCGAAGTTTCACGGGCTCTTGCAGTGCTCGCCGTCCTACTCCGTCCATCTCGCCCTTTTTCTCTCCCTTCTCCGTGGGTCCTGCACCCTCTTCCATCCATCCTTCGTCCCCCCCTTCGCCCCTCCCATATCATGAAGGGATCGGCTCGGTTCGGTTCGGTCCGGTTCTGCAGCCGGGTCGGTTTTGCTTGGCCGGTTCGGTTTGGCATCGGTCCGGTTTCGGCCGGTTCGGCTTGGGCCTGCCGCCGGTTCGGTTCGGTTCCGGTTTTCGCGCGGTTGGGTCCGACCGGTTCGGTTCGGTTCGAGTGGCCGCTCCAGTTCGGTTCGGCCCGACTGGTCAGGTGCGACGTTGGGCGCCCCGTCTGCGTAAGCGACGACCCAATTTGAAAAAAAGGGAGGAGGAGGAGGAGGAGGAGGCGGAGGCGTAGGCGGAGAAGGGAGGAGGAGGACGACGAGGAGGAGAAGGAGGAGGAGGAGCAGGAGTAGAAACGTGGAGGCGTGGAGGCGCGAGGCCCTCCAGCGACGTGCCCCGACGGGGGTCGCAGCCCCGAGGGGGGTCGCAGCCCCGAGGGAGGTCGCAGCCCCGAGGGGGGTCGCGCCCGCCAGGGGGGTTGCGCCCGCCAGGGGGGTTGCGCCCGCCAGGGGGGGTGCGCCCGCCAGGGGGGTTGCACCCGCCAGGAGGGGTTGCACCCGCCAGGGGGGTTGCACCCGCCAGGGGGGTCGCGCCCGCCAGGGGGGTGCCCGCCAGGGGGGTTGCACCCGCGAGGGGGGTTGCACCCGCCAGGGGGTCGCGCCCGCCAGGGGGGTTGCACCCGCCAGGGGGGTTGCGCCCGCCAGGGGGGTTGCACCCGCCAGGGGGGTTGCACCCGCCAGGGGGGTTGCACCCACCAGAGGGGGTTGCGCCCGCCAGGGGGGTTGCACCCGCCAGGGGGGTTGCACCCGCCAGGGGGGTTGCACCCGCCAGGGGGGTTGCAGGGGGGTTGCACCCGCCAGGGGGTTGCACCCGCCAGGGGGGTTGCACCCGCCAGGGGGGTTGCGCCCGCCAGGGGGGTTGCACCCGCCAGGGGGGTTGCACCCGCCAGGGGGGTTGCACCCGCCAGGGGGGTTGCACCCGCCACCCGCCAGGGGGGTTGCGCCCGCCAGGGGGGTTGCACCCGCCAGGGGGGTTGCGCCCGCCAGGGGGGTTGCACCCGCCAGGGGGGTTGCACCCGCCAGGGGGGTTGCACCCGCCAGGGGGGGTTGCGCCCGCCAGGGGGGTTGCACCCGCTAGGGGGGTTGCACCCGCCAGGGGGGTTGCACCCGCCAGGGGGGTTGCGCCCGCCAGGGGGGTTGCGCCCGCCAGGGGGGTTGCGCCCGCCAGGGGGGTTGCACCCGCCAGGGGGGTTGCACCTGCCAGGGGGGTTGCACCCGCCAGGGGGGTTGCACCCGCCAGGGGGGTTGCACCCGCGAGGGGGGTTGCACCCGCCAGGGGGGTTGCACCTGCCAGGGGGGTTGCACCCGCCAGGGGGGTTGCACCCGCCAGGGGGGTGCACCCCGCCAGGGGGGTTGCACCCCGCCAGGGGGGGTGCGCCCCGGGCCCCCCCCCCCCAGGGGGTTGCGCCCGCCAGGGGGGTTGGCCCGACCAAGGGGGTTGCACCAGGGGGGTCGCAGCCCCGAGGGGGGTCGCGCCCGCGAGGGGGGTCGCGCCCGCCAGGGGGGTCGCACCCGCCAGGGGGGTGGCGCCCGCCAGGGGGGTTGCGCCCGCCAGGGGGGTTGCACCCGCCAAGGGGGTTGCACCCGCCAGGGGGGTTGCGCCCGCCAGGGGGGTTGCACCCGCCAGGGGGGTTGCGCCCGCCAGGGGGGTTGCGCCCGCCAGGGGGGTTGCGCCCGCCAGGGGGGTTGCGCCCGCCAGGGGGGTTGCACCCGCGAGGGGGGTCGCGCCCGCCAGGGGGGTCGCACCCGCAAAGGGGGGTCGCACCCGCGAGGGGGGTCGCACCCGCCAGGGGGGTCACAGCCCGCGAGGGGGGTCGCGCCCGCCAGGGGGAACGCAGCCCGCCAGGGGGGTCGCAGCCCGCCAGAGGGGTTCGGTTCGGTTCCCGTCGGTTCGGTTCAGGGGCCGCCCGGTTCCGGTTCGGTTCCGGTTCTGGTTCGGTTCGGTCCTCGCCGGTTCGGTTCTGAATGAATTTGGTTCGGTCCGGTTCGGTTTTCTACGTTCCTGGTTTTGGACCGGTTCGGTCCGGTTCGGTCACGGTTCTCGGTTCTCGGTTCGGTGCGGTCCCTTCATGCTCCAAGCCAGGCGTCCGAGAGCCTTCCCCTGCATTCTCGGGAGGTCGCCTCCCTCGCGCAACCCCCAGATGATGCTTGCACAGTCAACGCTGATAGTAAGGATGGGTAACCGGCTGGAGGGGGTCACAACCCTCCCAAACGGGCAATTCGAGACTCCCCCCCAAAAAACAAAGCCATGAAAGGGCGGCCTTTTGCTCAAACCCCACAGAGCCCTCCAAGACAGCTCCAAGCAGACCCCCCAGAAAGATCAGACCACCCCCCGTGTATTGTGACATCCGGAGTATCCCTCCCAAGAGCACCCTTGCACTCTTGCCTCCTCGGCCCATCCTTCAAAATCCCCTTCGATGGCCAGCCCCGCTCGACGAGCCTCGACATCGGCACACACAAGGGGCTTGCACTGCCTCCTGATCGCGCGTCCTCACTATCGGTTCTGACCGTACCCTTCGAACGCGCGCCCCCCGGCAGCGTCCCGTGGACGCCGCCCGAGTCTCATTTCCCCCCCCGCGGCGCCCCCAGCGGCGCCGAGAGGAGCGCCAGACGGCCATGTTCACGGCCACCTGGCCGGCCGCGGTGCGCTGCCTGGCCTCCGAGTTCCTGCGCGACCCCGTGGAGGCGCCCTCCCCCAGGGTCCGTTTCGCTCCGATCGGCGTGTCTTGGATGTCGATGTCAGGGTTTTTGTTGCACGCTTCCAGTCGTCCCTGGAGGTTCTCGCGGCGTTCTGCCGTCCAAGGTGGTTCGAGACTCCAGGGTATCCGTGCTTCCGTCGGTTCTCAGGGTTTTTGTCACGTTTCCAGTTGTCCTGTTGAAGGGTCTCGCGGCTTTCTGCCGTCCAAGGTGCTTCGAGATTCAAGGCTTCGGTGTTTCCGTCGGTTGTCAGCGGCTCGCTCGCCTCTGGGGGAACAAACGGTGACATCAACATAACACAAAAGGGGCCCCCGAGTTTTTATGTTTATGCGGAGGCCTGGAAATTGGCACCAACACCAAGACAGGGGGTTGCCTCCACAGGGGGAAGGTGATCCTAGATTTCGGTGTTGGTGGTGATATTTCGGCCACCTGGGAAGCCAGAATCTTACCACCACCACCGAGATCGGGATCTTCTCCCCTCGGTGGAGGCACACCGCCGAAATTGGTGTTGGTGTCAATCTCTGGGCCTTCCGGTCGGAAAATCGGAGGAGGAGAGGAGGAGAGGAGGTGGAGGAGGAGGAGGAGGAGGAGGAGGAGGAGGAGGAGGGGGAGGAAGGAGAGGAGGAGGAGGAGAGGAGGAGGAGGAGGGGGAGGAGGAGGCCTGCGATTTGTGCCACGTTTTGTCCCCCTGGCCTCGGGATGGCTTGCCCGCAGCTGCGCCCCTTGGAGCCTGTTTTTCTTTATATCCAGGCAAGCTTACTTGCATGGCGTTCGCCCCCCCCCCCCCCCCCCCCCCCCCCCTCGCTCCTCTTCAATCGAACACGAGCGTGCAAGTGTCCTTCGACTTGCGTGTTTCCGCCCGTCGACTTGTTTTCGGCCTGCTTCAGAGTCAAGCCCCCCCCCCCCCCCCCCCCGTCCATGCAAGTAAACTTGCCCGGAGCCAAAAAAAAACAGGCTCTTGGGCCTTCCCGGGGTGCCCCGGAGCGTCCCCCGCCGGCCTCAGGAGGCCCGAGTTGCCGCGCAGAAGCCACCGGGGGACGCGATCGGTGGGCATTTAGGTCCGAGCCGAGTCGATGCCGATGCCAGCCTCCCTTCCTCCTCCTCCTCCTCCTCCTCCTCCTCCTCCTCGTCCTCCTCCTCCCCCTCCTCCTCCTCCTCCTCCTCCTTCCCCCTCCCCTCCTCCTCCTCCTCCCCCCTCCCTCCTCCTCCTCCCCTCCTCCTCCCTCCTCCTCCTCCTCCTCCTCCGCCTCCTCCTCCCCTCATCCGCCTCCTCCTCCTCCTCCTAGTCCCCTCCACCTCCTCCTCCTCCTCCCTCCTCCTCCTCCCCTCCTCCTCCCCCTCCTCCTCCCCCCCCTCCTCCTCCTCCTCCGATTTTCCGACCGTCTGGTGCGGCCCGATGCCTGTACAGCGCGTCGATGTGCTTCCTGGGGCTGCCCATCCGATCTTCGACTTCGACACCGTGCCGATGCTGCCCGATCCGACGCACACTCCGGCTCGAACCGATTTCCCGACTCGGTGCTGATTGATCGTGCCCCCACCCCCCTCCTGACGACGGCCCGGGAAGGGGGAGGGGGGCAGGGGTTGAGGATCGAGCTGCCGCATGCGGCCTCTGGGGCGCGCGCCGTCGCAACCCCTTCGAGGCACCCTTCCCTGAGTTCCTGACGGCCGCCCAGCATGAGGGTGGGAGCTTCGTTGGTGTTGAAAGCTGGGGGCGGGCGTTTTGTCCTCCGTGCTCAACGTGTCGTTTTTTTGTCGGCCAACCAGAAACGCAAAAAAAACGGCAGCCCAAAGCAGGCAACATAACAATGACAGTACACAGCGGAACCGAGCCGAACATTGCGCGAACGAACACCCTCAAACGGGAGAGCCAACAAATTGCCCACACTTTGAAAACATGTCGACCTTGAAAACAGGGAAACAGCCCCCCAAGGTTTTTTAAATCGAAAGCAAAAGGCTTGGCGTTTGGTAAGGTACTGGTTCCCCCCCGTTGGGCCTCATGAGACCTCCGAAGGCCTCCGCGGGGACCTGTGGCGACCTATACCTTCGCAGAGGGGCTGGGAGCAGCAGAGGACAGCAGAGCGGGAGCGGCAGATGTTTGTTTTCCGGAAAGAATGAGAGGAATAACCACACCACCATATGTGTATGTTCATAGGCGTAGGGATGTACACGCGCAGATCAAGCGGCAACATTCTATACACATGTGTAGATATGTGAATATATGCATATGCATGTGCATATCTGGATCTATGTGTGTAGAGAGAGGGAGGGTCCGAGACAACGGCACACAGAGGAGCACGCACACATATGTATACACATACAGTTATATATGTATGTATGCATGCATGCACGCACGCATGTATGTATGTAGATGTATGGTTGTATGTATGCATGTATGTATATGTATGTTGACATCTTTGTTTCTATGATTATATGTTTGTTTGTATGTGTGTATGTATGTATGCATGTATGCATGTATGCATGCATGTATGCATGTTTGTGTATGCATGTATGTATGTATGTATGTATGTATGTATGTATGCATGCATGTCTCGTACTTGTACGCCTGGGGGTTGGGCACAGACGGCGGGCCCCACCCGGGCACTCCAGAGCGTTCCGGAGCGCTCTGAGAGCGCTCCGGAACGCTCTGGAGCGATTCATCCCGATCTCGGGGGCCCCCAAACGGTGCGGTGACCACACCGTGCGGTGAGTCGGTGGGGATTCGGGGTCACCGCACGGTTTTGGGACTCGGGTCGTTCTCCGAGGACGTCTCGGGCGACAGGGGCCTCCGGGGTCCCAAGACCGTGCGGCGATGGACCGTGCGGTGAGGTCTTGCGGGATTTCGAGGTCACCGCACGGTCTGTCACCGCACCGTTTCGGGACTCCCAACGATCCTAGCCCTGTTTTGCCATCGGCCCCAAACCGAAACGAACATCTCGCCGACGACCTAGATAAAACAGGGCCAGCATCGGGAGAAATCGCTCCAGAGCGTTCCGGAAAGCGCTCTCAGAGCGTTCCGGAGCGCTCTGGAGGGGCCGCGGCGCCCCATACATCCTCCAGACCCGCCGATGCTCAGAGAGTTCGAGGTATCCTGATCCGATGTTGTCCCGATCTTCGCGTCGTTTTACCCCTCGCCGACGACCTAGACGAGCCGAACCGCGCCGCCCCCGGCCTCCCAGGCCCTGCGCGGGCCATCCGCGGCCCCTGGGGGCTGGGGCCCAGAGAGCTCGGGGGCTCACGCCTCCCCCCCCCCCCCTGCTGGGATATCTTCCCGCCGCCGTCGTCGTCGTCGTCCGAGGGGGGTCAGTTTCGGGTATGGCCAGGACCCCAGGTAAGTCGGGGGCGGAAAAGAGGGGGGTGATGACTAGGGGGGTGGATATCATGGCGTGGGCCATGATATTTCCCCAGATTTCATGGCGCCCTTTCTCATTTCATTACGTCCCTGGCCCCCCCGTTGGGCCGCGCACATGCCGCCGGTCATGATTTGCACCCCCCCCTCTTGGACACCCCCCTCTTGGCCGCTCCCGAGTAAGGGGACCCGGTTAGTGGTAGGGCCCCGGAGCCTTTGAAGTGGCCAGACTCACTAAACCAGGTTTGCCATAGCTGGTGTTCTTTCGGGTGGCGGCAGTTCCGGTTAGTGGAAATGCGACGGGGGGGCGCCCCCAGTACAAATCACTGAACCAGGTTCCACTGAACGCAGTTCTGCCAACGCCCGACAGTTGTATGAGGTCCTCATGTATGGGCAAATATGGAAGATCCGCAGTGTCCCGCACAAGACGAACAACAGCGACGCAACCACCAGGTATTGACTGAATTGGCAAGAGTACAATCTGCGACGTTCGAGTGATGCGCCACCGCCTAGCCTCGCGTAGGGCCGTTCCACTGTGACGACACAGTCTCTCCGTCGTCGTCGTCAGAGGGGAAGCGAGGACGGTAGAGATCCGATGCTGGTATACATCGCCTTTGGAAGCTGTTTTTTTCTTGGACCTCGGGAGGCAGCGCATATGGATATGGATATGTTCGGGGCCCCATGGGGCCGAAGTGTATCCATAGCTACCGCATCCTGGGGTCCCAGGACATCGGTTCCCCGAGTTCGGCTCACAGGCGAGGATCGAGTCAGAAAAATCAGTGTAAGCATGACCCGTTCGAGGTCAGCGCGGATTTTCAGGATAGGCGTTGGGCATCCCATGCAGTGCCTCCGGCGCCGCCCCTGACGCGGTCCGCCGCCAAGAGAGGGGCTGCCGGCGCCGACCCGAGAATGTGGCGCCCGTGCACCTCCCAGAGTTGATGTGTGTGCTCGTAGTTGCGCTCCATTTCGAGGAGGGAGGGAGGCCCAGATATCCGACGGCTCGAACAGCGTCGAAGCGGCACGTTCTCCATATCTCCGGGGCCAGACGAACGCGGGGGGAGAGGAAAAGGGAGGGTCACGAAACCTGCTCCATGCAGCTGGCTTCGGCCCCGCCGTCGGGCCCATTCCTCGATGCATGGGCGCCTCCCGGCGCCAAGCAGGCGCTGGGAAGAGCAGCTACGTGAGCCGATTCTCTACCCTAAACGCCGGTCGTTGAAAGTAGGTATTTCTGGATTCCCAGATCCCAATCTACTTCAAGCGCCTTCCTACTTCAAGAATCGACGTGCTTTTGCTGTGTTTTGTTATTCTCTGGGAGGGCCTGGACCCAATCTACTTGATTCGCCTTCCTACTTCATGTTTTCACCTACTTCTTCCCACTGGCGTGTACCCTCTGCTCTCCCCCCCTTGGCGTTCCCCCCGATCTCTGCGCAGCGAGCCCCGCGGGCAGTCGACGCTGGCAGTGGCGAGGCGTCCTGGCTCGCCTACAGCCTTATGGTGTTCCAACCTACTTTAGCCGTGATCACCAGAAATAATTTCGAGTACCAACAACAACAACGAAACACGAGGGTTTTCACGTGTCGGGCCCTGGGAAACACTCGTCCGACACTGTTTCGGTCCGACACTCTTTCGACACTCTTTCGACACGTTTCCGGGTGCTCGAAATTATGTTTTGGGATGTGGTCCTTGAGTACGATGGGGGCAACATAACCATAGCCCCATCAAAAAATGTTCTAAGAACCTCTTGTGTCTCTCACGAAATGTTTTTAGAACATCTCTGGTCGAGATTGCCTTGTTTTGACACATCGGGTTTGTGTTCTAAGAACAGCGTCTTCGTTCTCAGAACATGTTTGGCTCCCAAGAGCATTTCGTGGTAGGACTACGGGAGTGCCGGGACGGTCGGTCCCTGCTCGAGTATGTCGGGGGCGGAAAAGAGGGGGGTGATGATTAGGGGGGGGGGGATATCATGGCGTGGGCCATGATATTTCCCCAGATTTCATGGCGCCCTTTCTTATTTCATTACGTCCCTGGCCCCCCGTCTGGGCCGCGCACATGCCGCCGGTCATCGTTTGCACCCCCCCCTCTTGGACACCCCCCTCTTGGCCGCTCCCGAGTATGCCGTCCCCCCCCCCGCAGTCTCCCCGGGGCCTGCAGAGGCCGGCTGCGGGCGCCTAGGGGCCGTCGGCAGAGCTGCCGTGAGGTCGGGCACGTCCCTCTACTACAGGGGGGAGTCTTCAGAAATAGTCAACAAAATAGTCATAGGGGGCTATTTTTGATTATTTTTTGGCCAGTTTGGAGGGGGAATCTTCAGAAATAGTCAACAAGAACGTCTTGGGGGTTATTTTTTGAGTATTGTTTGGCCATTTTGGAGCATCTTTTCGTATTTTCAGTTTTTCGTAGAAAATCCCCCTGTGGGGGGACATGCCCGTGAAGTCGGGCATGTCCCTCTACAGGGGGAGTCTTCAAACATAGTCAAACAATAGTCTGGGGGCTATTTGTTGAGTATTGTTTCGCCATGTTGGAGTATTTCTAATACATTTTTAAGTTCTCGTGGAGATCCCCTTGTAGGGGGACACGCCCGACTTAAAGCTACCCAGGGCGAGCATGATGAGCTCTTGCAATGAGAGACGCTTGGAGGTCCGCGCGGGGTCCCTGGGCTGCCGCTGGGCCCCGGGGGCCAGGAGGGAGGACGAGGGGGACGAGGAGGACGAGGGGGAGACGAGGCGGAGGAGGAGGAGGCGGAGCGGAGGAGGAGGACGGGCAGGAGGAGGAGAAGGAGGCGGAGGAGGACGGGCAGGGGGAGAAAGAGGGCGAGGGGGACGACTGGAGAAGGGGGAGGACGCGATGAGGATGGGCAGGAGGAGGAGGAGGAGGAGGAGGAGGAGAAGGAGGGGAAGGAGGGGGGGGAGGAGGGCGAGGAAGAGGACGAGGTGGAGGAGGAACATCGCCGCGGGAGGAGTTGGAGGAGGAGGGCGAGGAATAGGACGAGGTGGAGGAGGAGCATCGCCGCGGGCTCGTGTCCGCACGGGTCTGCACCCTGCTATGGCCATTATTTTCTCTAGGCATCCACTCGCGAACCCTGATTCAATCTGTCCTGTCGACACTGGCGAGGGCCCGGGAGGAGTTGCAGTCTCCCCCTTTGGCTTGGAGGCTTGGGGCCGCTTTGGCCCCCACGCCTCGCAGTCCTCGAGAAGCTGGCACTGCAGCGGTCCTCGCGCGGCGGCGGGCCTCCGGCGCGCTGTCTGCAGCGGTGGCGCGCTGAGATCGGCGTGGCGACGATCCGCGCGCTGGCCGAGACCGCGGCGAGCGCCACCAGGGAGAGGGAGGATCAGTGAGCTGGCCACCATCCGTCGTATAGTGCGATCGAGTCGAGTGGATGTTCCTTGGTTGGGTCTTTAGCAGCAGCAGCAGCAACAGCAGCAGCAGCAGCAGCGCCCGCAGCCGTGTGGACACGAGCCGGCGGCCGCGGCCTCCTCTCTGACGCCGTCCTCTCTCCCTCCCCGAGCCCCCGCCATCCCGCGGCACGGCGGGCGCCCGCCGCGCCCCGCGGGGAGGGGCTCCCGGGGGAGCGCGAGGACTCAGACTCCCCACGCCTGGCCGGGGCGAGGGCCCAGGGCCCCCTCGGGCCCCCCCCCGCCTCTCTTTGAGTCGGGCCTGTCCTTCTTAAGGGGGAATATTCAAAAATTGTGAGAAAATAGTATGGGGATTTTTTTTTGAGTATTTTGGGGCATCTTTGGAGCATTTTTAACGCATCTTCCACTGTTCGTCGAGAGTCCCCCGGTAGGGGGACGCGCGCGACTTGATTGAGCCTCTCTCTCCTGGCCCGCCCGGGGGTGCGCGCGCTCCGCTCCTGGCCCGGGCTCGGGCCGGCCGGGGCAGTCGCGAGGTGGGCAGCTGGCGCCGCCCGCGAGCAGGGGGAGAGGAGCCCAGACCCCCGACGTCGTGATTTTTTCATTACGTCGCCCCCCAGAGGTCTGGACCCCTTCCCCGGGACCGGTTTTTCGTCCTGCATCGTTTTTTGACGGTCCCGAGGCCCGGGAAGGGCCCCCAGAGGGCGAAAA